GGAAATTAAACAGTAGGGTTTAACCTCCATTTGGTTATCAGAGTGGTTAAAGCAAAGATTTTTTTTTTAGATATTTGCTTTAGTAAGAAAGCAAAGGTTTAATTTTTTGGTTTTTTTTTAAGTGTAAATGTTTTTGTTTAATTTTTTGTTAATTGACCACCTATACAAGTCATTATCACATATAGAATTATTTTAGGGAATTGTTATTCGCACCTCTCCCGTGACTAAATGTAGTAATGTGACCAATGAATGGCTTTAAAATGTGTTGATTTTATTGGTTCATCTTTGTCTTAGTCATGGGAGGGGTGCAAATAACAATTCTCTTATTTATTGTAAAGTAATTATAGCTGACTTCAATTGGCCAAAGAAAGTAAAAGTAAAGCAAATAAAAGGAACTCTACATGAGCTTTATTGCTTTGTTAATTGTACCATAAAGTGTTTACAGATTCACCAAAGCTTTAAGAAAGAGGTAGTAGGTAAAAATTTATATTTTTGTCCAAGAATGGTCCGGGACATTTAAAGTGATGGACACGGACAGTCCGTGTCCACAGAGCCTTACTTTAGAGTAGAGGCAGAAAGTTAATATAAAATTATTTTTTTACAAATAATTCATTTGTAATAAACATTTTCATAATTTAAACAAATTAATTCTTTTTTTGTTTAATAAAACACTTTTATGGTCGGAAATTAAACAGTAGGGTTTAACCTCCATTTGGTTATCAGCAAAGATTTTTTTTTTGGATATTTGTTTTAGTAAGAAAGCAAAGGTTTAATTTTTTGGTTTTTTATTTTAGGGAATTGTTATTCGCACCCCTCCCGTGACTAAGTGTAGTAATGTGACCAATGAATGGCTTTAAAATGTGATTATTTTATTGGTTCATCTTTGTCTTAGTCACGGGATGGGGGCGAATAACAAAAATGGGAGGTGCGAATAACAATTCTCTTATTTTATTGTAAAGTAATTATAGCTGACTTCAATTGGCCAAAGAAAGTAAAAGTAAAGCAAATAAAAGGAACTCTACATGAGCTTTATTGCTTTGTTAATTGTACCAT